GCAAAGGGGCCAAAATGCATGGACCCCAATAAACGAAGGGTCCAACATGAATAGGCTATGGCCGTGCATAGGCTATGAGCCTGTGGCGGCGGCGGCGCGATGCGCGCACGCGCGCGCTCAGGACACGCTATGGCAAGGAGCCAATCTGGCGTGACAAAGCCTTTCAATAGTATGCGCAACTGTATGTACTTCCCATGTCTCTCATAAGCCGCTACGATATTTGTGGCTTGCTAGAAGGGTTGAAGTGTTCGAACGCGTCGATTACTGAGCGCTCATGGCTACGCTAAGCTTATGCGCACTCTAGATAAGCCCTGCATGGGACGTCAAGCTAAAAGTGGTCTGCAATGCACCCCGCGGCTTACATCAATGAGTCCGCTTACACCCGAGCACGACGGCTACTTTTATATGTTACTATACAGAAGGCATCATTGCTGCAGCCTGATTTTCAAGGTAGCCGCGTGTTTCAAGAGATGCAAGGCGGGCCCACATCGGCCTCCTATCCAAGCCACGGCATGCCAACTCGGCATCCAAACTCGACTAGTATATATGCACACCCGCATGCGCGGCCGGGCGCCTTCATATCAAAAAGCGTACACATACACGTAGGAGTGCGGCATATACTAACGGTTAAACTTCAGGCTTGCAGTACGGTCGCGCACATCATGAATTTGCCTCGAGTTGCCTGAAATCGTACTGATCGATTGGAGTGACTCAAAGCATCCCGGGCGACACACATGATCTGCTTGCTTGATAGAGCGACACTACAGATACGGTGTCACTGCTATACCTAGGCTACTCTCATGACCATACAGGCGAGCGTCATGCGTGTTTGCACACGAACCCGGTCTTTGCCAGAAAGGAGACCTCCGTTCGCACACTCCAGTTCTTTTACCTGGCACCGCAAAAGATTGGGTCGCAACTTGAGAGTGCTTTTCGTAGTTTGCGTTTCCCAAGCTCTGCGTGAAGGTCGGGCTCCAGTCGGACCAACCTCAGTACGGTCGCAAGCAATAGAATTCTCTCCTTGCATGGCTTCGGCCCCACATGATAGGCAACGGCCACAAATCCGCTCCTTCACTTCGCCTCGGACTCGATCCCGTTCCCCCTTACATGTTGGTCGCTCGGCGGCGTCACACGAATCACTTCAAGTACGAACACACCTTATCAACCTCCTCGCGTCTGCATACTCAAAATCATCTCTGCATCGTAAGTTCTGAGTGCAGCCCAATTATCGACACTCGGACACCGGGCTCCGCGACCGGCTCCGCTCGCGCGGCACCCAGTTCTCGGCGGGCGTCCGGTTCGGACCGCGCGTGGGGGAACGTCCGACCCGCGCACGCCAGCCTTGCAGAAACTTTACCAAAACTTCGAGCCCGTGGTCAACCGTGTCCGCAGCGTCCGAAAGGCCCGCTGCGGACAGCTCCGGACGTTCGCTCAGCTCACGCAGCAGCGTGCTCGCCGCCGCGGCGGTGCAGACCTTTTCGAGCGCGGGCTGGGGCCTGCGGAAAGACACGTGTCAAATTTTCATTTGTTTGGTGGTGACGTGTGACTGGACTCTCAGAATGCCCTGAAAGGATTTCAAACAATATTGAAAAGTTAGCCAACACGTGGTTACGGGACTCGTAAAACCCTTCCATAAAAATTTCAGTAGGGACAGAGAGAGACGGACGCTACAAGGTCAGATGAGTGGGTTACCCTTTCTGTCCACTCGTTCCACTCGCCGTTTAAGATTTGGATACTCCCTCTTGTACCTGCTTTCTTGATTCCACAAGCTGCTCGAGTGTCTGAAGGGCATATTTACGTTGGCTTCTAAAGCGCCTATTTTATAAGGCCCAAACAATAAGGCCGAGAGGTTCCCAGGAGGGGGCTCAAACAAATAGGAACGTATCTCGAGCGAAAAGCCGTGTTTCTCCAGTAAACGCCCAGATAAACACCCTTCATACGGCGCATTCTCAAGAGAAGGCGTCTTCTCATCGCTTTACTCTTGACAAGGGCATGAGCACATTCTCATTTCAGGCTGTGCACTCTCATGGGCGCCTCGGAGGGTACACTCCGTTTCTTGTTTCCCACTTTTGGCGGTTCAGAAGGGGTTGCGTTTCACCAGAAGGCAAAATAACCAGACGGCGCATTCTCGCCGCAGGCTGTGCATCTTGGACGGCGGTTCGAGGGTGAAAGAACAGGCAGGTCATTTTGCCCTTGACGCCTTTGTTTTTACTTTTGCCGACTAGAAAACGGGTGTGATCCACCAGAGGGCGCATTCTCACCGCAGGCTGTGCATATTGGACTTCGCCCTGGGGGTTGAGACGCCCCACTCCTCGTTTCATTCCTCGTTTCCTACACGCGCTCCACTCCTTGTTTCTTACGCTGCTCACAGAAAGATGGTGATCGCTTCAGAGGGCGTATTCTCACCGCAGGCTGTGCATCTTGGACGGCGAGTCCGGGGTGAGGCACAGGCACGCCATCTTGCGGCCCCACACGCGCTCCGCCTGCTCCTGTAGCCGCACCAGCATCGCCGTCGAGTTGTTCCACGTGCCGTCCAGAAAGACGAAGTGCACAGGAGGGGAATTTACGACGCTAACCGGGGGGGTTTGGGAGGTTTGGGGGGTGTGGGAGGCTTCAGGGTTTTGGACGCTAGGGGCTCGTTGACGGTTTGGAAGATTGACAAAAAGTTTGGGGGGATTGTGAGCGGGGGAGGTTTCAGGGCCTTCGAGGGGGCTGTCGCGCAGTGTTTGTGAGGCAGGAGATTTGCCGGATGGAGACGCGACCCTGGGGGTGTGAATAAGGGCTTCGGGGTTGGTGGTGGGAGTGTCGCAAGCGCCGCTGGTTGGATTTGGAGAGGCGTGGGGAGATGTGGACGGCAACGGCAGCGTGTCGATGTAGAAGATCTGCAAAAGTAAGGATATGTAAGTGGCTGTGTCCGAGTACGGAAAGGACCTTTAACTTTTAAAACCCGAAGAATGTTTCCTCTTTCCATAAACGGTGCGAGGAGCACGGGCGCACATTCCGAGGCTTTGTAGTCGAAACACAAAGAGGGCTTCCACGTGCACAAAGCAATCGTTGAATGGGGTGAAAGCAGCCCCTCTAAGCTTCTATCGGTAAGTCTGATCACTTTCAAAAGAAGCAAGAAGGATGATCTTCAGTCCGAACTGAATATCAAATTGGTTAGGGACGCGTTGCAAAAGAGAGGCCTTTTCGGGCTTGGGATTCAAAAGGAAAACGAAGGGATGACGAGATGGAATACAATTAAACAAAGAAGACGCAGGAAGTCAGCATCAGCGGAGCAGCCTTTACCTCCATCGTCTCCTGCGCTTTCCTCTCAGGGTACATCAGGAACACCCGGCCCGGGCCCGCCGCCGCAAACTCGCCCCACATCTCGTTCTCCAGAATATCCAGCCCCGAGATTGACAGCCGTACCGACTCCTCTCCAAACAGCTGCCACAACACTTTCCCCGTGTTGTTCTTCCGTCGGTATTCCTTGGGATGCATCAGCATCCAGATGCGCATTCCCGGCCAAAGCGGACGGCTGAATCTGAACACTTCTTGGCACATGCAGCTTTCCTGGGGGAGCCAGCACTCGGTGCACTGGACCGTGGGTTTGGGTCCCTGCTTAGATGGGGTTAAGAGCTGGTCAGATGGGGTTCGGGTCTGGTTAAGGGCGGATAGGGACTGATGATCGGAGGGTTTGGCGGCCTCGTTAGATGGGGCTCGGGACTGGTCCGAGGGGTTAAAGGACCGGGTTTGGGACGGGTTAGGTGAGGGTTTGGTGGCCTGGGTAGGCGGGGTTTCGGACCGGGTTAAGTACTCAGATAGGATGCGTCCGGCAAGCGTCCGGTACGTGCTGACGCGTTGCTTTTGCTCGGGGTCCCTCAAGAACGCCATATGCTCTTTAAATGCATCCTCGTTTACGATCCTCAGCTCCGTCAAGGCCCCCCCCTCTAGTTTCTCAAGGCTCTGTGCGACGTCCTCTGCACTTACAGACTCTAAGTAGCTTCGCTCCCCGGTTGCGAACTCGATCGTTCCCTCTTTCCGCTTCTTTGATCGCTGCTCGGCGAGCTCCTTTTTGGACTCTTTTGTTTTGGCCAGCGGAGACGAGGAGGACACCACTGCTTTCAACTCGATGGCGCCCCTCAGAATCCGGTTGGTGAGAGTTTGAGATCGCCGGCGATCTAGCTGTGAGGTTGGGCTGCTCTCCGACTGGGAGGCCATGTCCCGATTAAGCAATGGAACAGAATCGGCGAGAACCGAGTCGATGACTCTGAGAGGAGAAGCGTTCTCGACTGAAGACGAGTTGTTCCCTGTCAGCAATGAGAAAGATTCTGTGGAAGTTGAGGCGCCTATGTGCGATGCCCTTCCTAACAGCCTACTACTTTCTGTACTTTCTGAACCCACAGCCCCGTCCGCTCTGTCCATCACTGAACCAGGCGCTTCCTTGGATTGCTCTAAACTTGAAGTCTGGAGCCCCGTCACTTGCCCTGGCTCGAACGCCTGATCCAAAGCAGACGCACCATCCAACGAGGACGGCGCATCGACTCGGAAACTGCGAGCAACTTTCAGGTTACCCAGCTGCCTGCCGTCGCGCAAGACCACAGACTCGCCCTCACTTTGCCTCAGGCGCCCTGCACTGTTTCCCTCCATCAGAGTCCTCCTGAGTCCATCCGTAGAGAGCAATGCAGTGGTCTCCATCGGGCCTAAAAAGGTGCCTCTTACGCCTGAAAAGAGCTTGCAGCTGCCGTATGCGTGCCCGCAAACTACACCACCTTTTGGAAGCCCTTTCTGTGCGGGCCAGCGATAAGCGTGAGCAGACACGATTGTGTCGGAAGTGGGGTCAGCAGATGGCGTTGGGAGCAGCTTAACAGAGCCTTGCAAAACTCCAGCGACGGAGCCACCTCGTCTGCACAGAGCACGGACCATCATTCCACTTTCACAAAAAGGAAGAAGCTGCCAATGCGCCCCTTCTATTGACGCTCAATGGGGGCATTGGCATGAGACTCAAAGGGGACCTCTAGCTGCTGGATTCGACCCCACAGGTCTGCTGAAAGAACTATTACAGAGACAGGGAAAGGAGACGCCCTAGCTGCCGCCCTAGAGGCTGATGAGATGCTCACAGAATCACATGAGAATGCTGCAAACGACTGCGCAAGATTTCCAGTAGCTGGGAGCTTCATGTTGGCAGAATTTGGGCCCGCTCTGGTTAAATTTTTAACATTCATGAGCTTTCTTAGAATGCAAATTTTGATTCGTTGGCGACTTGCCCGTGGCGAGAAGCCGAGTTCTAACCAGTTCTACCAGTTTCGCCACATTTTCAACGGTCAGCACCTTCTTTCAAAAACTTGAGGTCGCCAAAAAATTGACACCCCAAAAAGAATTGCACGACGAAATAAGTTGAATCACCACTCATAGTGTCAAATATTGTTTGTCGACTTCAGTGATCGAGCTCACCAGCCTGATCAGGCGTTTAGCAGAACATTGGCGTGGGGATCTGCATATAGCCATGGGGCTGCGCTTGAAGTCTGAAAAGCTGGGCAGCCCTTGCGCGCATTGCGCTTCGCTCAAGAGCGAGTCATTAGCAATTCTGCAGGCCTTTTCAAACAATGCAAGCATCGATTGCGTCATTGGAGACTGAAAAAACAGCTATGACGGCTGATTGACGGCCTGTTCTTTTCAGCATTGTACTTCCTGCGATGGATCAGCACGCTTTTCCTGATCTGCCTCCCCGCTTGAGCCAGAGACTGCATTCCATCCTCCAGCAAAGGGGGTGGCTGCCCCCACAATGGGACTTTCCTGACAGTCTTGCGCTGCGCAACTTGGGTTCGCTGGCTCATGACAGCGAGTCGGCAGCAAGCAAAGTGTTGGATAACCTCTACAGCAAGTACGAGATAAAGAAGAGCACATCAGCGGTCATAATGCAGGAGGTCAAAATGCAAAGGCAGGCCCTAGGTTTGGGTACGGGGTTGTCACCAGCAGGGGGAGGAAGGGTTTCTGCGCAGCATTGGCAGGATCAGGCAAATGCAATGCAGAGGGGGGGCAATGCTGCTGGTTTTACACCCCCCCGGAGCGGACACCAATCAACCTCACCACTCAACGCGACAGCTTATCAAGCAAACCCTCAGCAGAAACCTCCGACGCTTTCTCACCAGCGCTCACGAGAAACAGTAGAAAGTGACTACTTACTACGGCGAGAACCTGTCACCCCAGAGAAAAGCAGCCCTGCACCTGCGATGGTCTGCTCTCCCCCATCCCCAGAAAGGCCTCCCACTTCAGTACAAGCGCAATCCCCCGGATCAGTTCGTCTTTCCCAGGGGGGGCCTGTCGTGAGAAAGTTAGATCCGCTTCTAGGCCCTCCCCGCGCCAAGTCCCCAAGGATTGGGTCGGAGACAACAAGACACGCATCCAGGAAAGGAACACACCAGGGGGGCAGTGCAGATCAGCAGCGGAATGCTGACGTCAGCAATGCCTCGCTGGGCGAGTGGGATGAGGGCGTCCCGGGCTCACAGCAATCATTCGCTTTTCCAAGGCTCGAAACCACCCCCCCAATCCGGTTTGAGACACCCCCTCCAGAAGAAGCCGGCATCCTGATCAATGCAAACGCACTGTCCCAGCAGGGGTTAGCGTCTGACACCCGGGGGTTAGCGGAAAGCTTCAGCCGGTTTGAGCCGCCGTCAGGTTTCAGAAGCTACAAACCCCCTAGTCGAGGTGCATATCTACTGGACCCCCCTGAAACGAAACCCGTGGGTATAGAACGGACTCCAAGCTCCCTTCCGTTGGAGGATAAGCACGTCCTGTGCGTTACGCATTGCGAGACCCCCCCCCTCCCCAGCTCCCAAGCCCTGCGGGGTTTGCCTAACCCCTCCCCTGGTCTGCCTAACCCTTCTCCAAGTTTGCCAAACCCTCCCCTCCAACCAATAACTGGCACTTGGCGGCTAGAGACATCAAGCAGCCAGGGGCCCCATCTGGTTCTCGAAGCAATCCCCGGGGGGCCCGTTCACACCCGCGTTCCCCTACGGTGGGAACAGCCCCTCCCTCTTCCTCCAGACCTTCAGGAGGGTAATGCAAACCTACTACGGAGCACCCACTCGAACTGGAGGCCGGTTCAAATAGCAGAAGACGGCTCGCTGCAAGGTGTCTTATGGGGACAAACACTGGTAAATGTTCCGCGAGTAACTGCCGCGAGGGAGGCGATGCCGCCGGGCATTCAGAAGAGTCTTCTGCATGGTTCTGGGATGACCAGGGATGACGTCAGCACATCGTCATCCCATGGTTCGAGGGTCCACGGTTTACCAGGCTCCTTGGGCGGCAGGGCATCATTAGGGGCTCCGGACTGCGATCAGTCGACTCCGCTCCGAAAAGCGTTCGGCGAGCTGGAGTTCAAGAAGCGATGGCTAGTGGAGTATCATGGGGGCCATAATTTGTGAGTGCCTTTTGAATCTGTTTACGCTTGGATGAAGATTGGAGCTTGACTTTTGATAATTGTCACTCTAGATCGTGTGGACTGTTAGATGCTAGGCCCTGCTAACATGTTCCGACTCGTTTGTGTGAATCAGATGCTCGTCTAAGAAAAGTTGATCTTTATGGAGTTGTAACCCAACACAGTCAGGGGTGCAGACTTTGAAGAGTTTCATATAGGGAGGCCTACTGAAGCCACTTTTGGCTTCAACCGTTCTGGCGGGTTCGCATGCCTGTGTAGGCCAGAAAAAGTTGCACCTTGAAAGCATAACGCTACTTTATTCTAGTGTTTAGCAGGATGCTTGAACTGCTGAGTCACCTCTAGTACCTGCTTGACATGACCTAGATCGGAAGCGCTCAGGTTGTCGGTACCTAAGGACTAGTTGCAGTCCGTCCAATGCCAAATTCCAACCGCTCTCTTTGAACACAATCCCTACCCCGGTTTTCTTGCAGGAGCACCTTGTCCCAAACCGTCGATGACGTCACGCTGACGTCATCCCTCGTCGCCTTCCGCTCGTCGTCCCTGCTCGAGATCGAGGCCCGCCTGCTGTCCTTCCTCCCGCGGGCGAAGCACCGGAAGCTCATTGCTCTAGTTCTCACCCGGGAGGATCCGGATGCCAACGTCGTGTACGCGGTCAAGGTCCGGAAGAATCGGACGGTCGAGCTCATGGCGCCGGCGCTCGAGAAGGCCGGCACGGCGGGGGGGCGCCTCTTCGACTACGACAGACTACTCACGGTCAGTGGCTCCTTGAACTTTAACCCATGTCGTTCGCTTCGCTTCCTTCCAGTTTTAACTTCTTTATTTCTGGTCAGCTTGCATCCCCGCTCTTTCTGTCTTGGTCAGCATGCGTCCTCGCTCTCTCTGGTTTCGTCATCAGCCTGAACGAGATCTCGTCGCATTTGGTCCTTCGGTGAAAGCGATCCTTCTTTCTCCCTGACCATTCGCAGCATCCGGTATCCCAGGCCCTCAAACCCTCCAACTCGACGACCCCTCTACGATGAGACCTGCCAAAGCCCCTAACCCTTCGCAATTTAACCCTCAACAACCCTGCCGTTCCATTGCTCATCCGGTTTCCGTGCATTTCAAAAGTTAAAACCCTCTGCGCATATCTATATTTACAGTCTGCAAAAGCACACGCGCCACCACCTGTGAGGCCGTCTTGGGCAGGACCGCCCCTCTTTCCTTCCTTCTACTCTTCCGTATTCAGATCCTCAAAGTTTAGATTCTGCAAAGGGTCTGCAGCGAAGAAGTGGTCTGTCGCAGCGAAGAACTTGCTGCGACAGACCCTCTCGCATTCCGCTCTTCAGCTCTTCCGCTTTTTCGCTCTTTAGCTTTTTGGCCTCTTAACCAGGTCCTCGGAGCCTGAAACCTGTGCCAACGTACGTAGAAGGCCTGCGGTTTTCAAGCCCTGCGTAAGCTCGTTCTGCCCCTCAACCTTTCGAACCCCAAATACGCTTTGAGAAGTCCCACTATCCAAGCCAAGAAGTCCTCACATCCAACCCGAGATGTCCTGAAATTTTCTCAAACGCAACCAGAGATTTTGCCTGAAAATTAACCCCAAACATCCTCAAACCCCCAAAACTCCGCGCAGGTGTACATCGAGGACATACAAAAGCACCGTGCCACGTGCGAGTCCGTCCTGCGAGACTCCCTCACCATCTGCGCGCGCACCTACGCGTTCCTCCTCCCCAAAGACGCCACCAACCGGGACGTCCGCATCCTATTCCTCGCGCTCTCTTCGGACGCGGCTACGGACGCGCGCGCCGGGTTTAGTCCGTACGACAGCATCGACGACGCGCGGGCACGTGTGGCGCACTTCCACACGTGCGCGAACGCGGCGCGCGGGTGTTCGTGGTGAAGGACGCGCCGTGCCGGGTGAGTGACGCCGTGGCACGTCAGCGAGCTCTTGCGAACGACGTCGGTGCTGGGGCAGTACGGTTGTAAGCTTGTTCTTTTCGGCCGATGAAAGCGATTGTCGAGCAACGTCCGCGGCAGAAGAACATGCGCTTCTGCTTCTGATCGAACCGTTAAGTGTGTACTCAGTCAAAGCTCGGATTCAACTCTATGTTCCTCTCTCCAAGTCCGTCCAGGTTGTCGTGCTAGATTAGTCGAACGGGGTCCTTAACAAACAAGCTTCCAGACACGACTTTTACCTTGGTCTGGCCGTTTGAGGCTTATCATTCCTTCAATCTGTGTTTGCTGGCAAAAACATTTGGAAGGAAATCAAGGAATCTCGAACGCTTTCCAGGACCCCTTTTCGTTATAATCCTTCAGATTGAAGGTCCAGAGAAGGTCCTTTTGTCAACTTAGCCGTCGATCTCTTGGGGTTATAGCCCAGCGGACTCGACAGGGCTGGTCAGAATCCCTCCTTGCGTTAAGTCGTTTCGACTGGCCTTCCTTAGGCAGATCCAAGCCCATCTTCTGACTTTATTCTCGAGGCGCTCGCAGGACTCCCGAGGGGCTGCCCTTGCAGACGAGCTCATTCACACCGACGGCAACGTCTTCATCTCGGAAGACCTCGCGAAGTTGGTCCCCGCCGGAATCAGTCAGGGGTGTTTGCCGAAGGAGAAGTCCGGCCACGACGTAAGCACCACGTTATCTCTTTTGAAAGCAGAGTCGACATTCGCTGTTTAACTGCAGGAGGAACTTGCTAAAGCTGGGTCTCGTTTCAGGGCCTTGGATCCAGCATGCCAAAACTCATCTATGCTTTTCCTTTTCTTGAGCTGTTTTCAGTCGTCCATTTTCTGGATTTTGAGAATCAGCTTTTCTGGACCGAACCCGCCGATCGCTCAGCCCTTCTCGTGCGATTCATTTGCATCTAGCGTGATTCCACCAAACTCCATCTCGTTCGCCCCTTCTCACCTTTCAGCACATGCCGCTGGTATTGCGTTTGGTCTGAGCCCTGACACAGGCGCCTCAAAAGCACTATGACCATCCAGATATCCAAGCCCCTGTATTTCATTTCAACACTTCGATCTTCTGAAGTTCACACATTCCGTTCTGGCAGATTCCGCTGGTCATCCAGTTCCGCTTGTTCCACGAGGGAGAGGCCTTCAAGGGCACGGTGACCCTGAACCGGTTGCTTCCGCCCAACACCCTGGTTCTGCCGGGATCCTGCCGGAAAGTGGCACGTGACCACGCCTGGGCGGAAGCGCTGCCCCGGGCCTTGTCCAGCTTCGAAGTGTGCCAATCGTCGTGAGTAGTGGTGACAACTTTGCTCAAAGCAAGGCCTCGATACGAGTCCTGATTCTTTTTTGGTGCGGTTCGAAAACCCGCTTTTGTCTGAATTCTCGGTTGCCTTGGATTGAACTCTGGCTAGTTCTGAAAATATTCAGGTTCATTCAGAGATCCTAAACTCGGTACTACTGATTCTTGATACTAGTCGTTGCGTGCTGACAGCAACAAAACTACGACGAGAGGTGATATTCGGCGGTCTTCTCACTCCAACGGTTCTTCGTTTGCCTTTCCGTCAAGTTGACTCGTCATCAGGTACTGAAGATTGGAATGCTCAAAAAATCGGACCCCCCCAAATAATCTGGATCTTTTCTCCCGGCAGGCAAGAACCGAGCGGCGAAGCCCGGTTGAACCAGCAGCTGATTCTGCTGCTCTGGCACGGAGGAGTGCCCACCGAGACGTTTATGCGCCTCCTAGACGACGCGCTCGAAGCCCTGCTGACGTCATGCACTGACGTTGCTGCGGCTTACAAAGGTATGCAGATTGTTGTCGAGGCTTCTGTTTGCAGCCCATGCGATATTAGATTCGAGTGTGCTTCGGCGGACACTTCCCTCTTACCCTAAAAATTCCCGCCGACAATGCCCTCTGCATGCGATCGTGTCTTCCTATCATGGATGCTTTCACCTGCTTCACGGCTTCTGATGTGCTTCATTGTCATTTTCCTCCTAAATCGGGTCTCATTTATAAATCGATAGCTGCGTCAGGTTTTCAACCCTTGAAACAAATGTCCAGCCTTTGTCTCCATCGTTATTTTGGCTGACCGCTCGAAGCGTCAGAATAACGAAAGCACTCAGAGTCGATCCATGGAAGCGACATACACCCAGGAATCTCTTCACCCACGTTGAAATTTCCACGTCAAATGAATCCGACCAGATCCATTCTTGCAGTCGCCAATTCTTTCGGCAGCGACGACCGCCCGAAGCAGCAGGCTCTGGACGCGCTCATCATGCTGACGTCAGGCTTCGACATGCACGAGCTGCGGCTCCGGTCGATCGTACGGACGCTGCAAAAGGAGCGCTTCGTGGAGCTCAGCCGCGGACGCATCCCGGTGAAACGGACGTACAGCAATCTGATGGGCATTGCGGACCCAACGGGACAGCTGGCACCGGATGAGGTCATGGTCATCCTGTGAGGCCGCCGTCTCGCCTTTTCTTTTGAGATTTTCAAATCTTCAATTGGACCTCTCTTGATTGGTCACTATCTCGATTTTGGTCTGTCCAGGTAGCGTCCATTCTCCGGTGTTCGCTGGGAAAAAGTCATGTTGACTTTTGAGACCTGACGCCGTGAGTGCCGGCTCTTGTTTCCGACTTTCACTTTATACTTCTGGTTCTTCCTTTTGCTTTCCTCCTCTTATTTTTCGTATTTTTTGTTCTGCATACCTTCTTTATTACTGCTTTCCTTCTTCTTTCTGCAATCCTTCTGGGCTTGATTCTATCAGATCCACCCTCTTGTTTTCGAACCCCGCTCCGTTTGTTGAATCTTGATGTTCAGCGCAGTACCAGCCTTCCCCTAACATCCTTGTCTCCTGCACCTCTCGCCTTTCCACTCCGCAGTTTGTCGGCCTTCGACGATTTAGTCGGACTCGTCAGGTCTAGAGAGCGTTTGGAAGACGAGCTGCGCCTCCCTGGCAACTTCCCCATTTCTGTATATGTAGACTTGGAGTCTGATAGGAGCGGAACTAGGATCTTTCAGTCACGTCCAAGCAAACGACTTGCACCGGACAACTAAGCTTCGCTGTCTGCTAAACTGCTATCAGGTTAGTCCCCATCTCGAGGTTATAAAGGATCGCTTCCGAAGCCGCAGAACGTGCAGGTATGTGAAACGGCTCATCGTACTTTGTTCCGCTCTGCTGCTGCCAGTTTTGGTGCAGGCGGAAGGCGTCTCAGGGGGTTATGGTGCTTCTAAGCTCTAGTTATTGCGCGTCCTTTTCCGTTTCGCTCATTACTTTCCCTTCATTTGTGCGGACGGGATATCGCACGACTTTATTTACAAGACCTTCTTCCGTCCGCCTTGGTTTCATCGCAAGGCGTTCTTCTAATTGTGACAAGTTTTGCCAAACCTGCGTTTCTCTTGTTCGTTCCGCTCAGGTTTCGTTCATTCCGTCCGTTGCAGGCCGGAAGGCGCGTAGTACCAAAACCCCGAGAAGGTCCTGGTCTTCCGCCAAACGGACTCCATTCGCGGGACATTCGAGTCTTCCAAGCCCGGAAAGTTCCGGCTATGTCTTGTCCGTTCCGCTCAACGGCTTCCGTTTCGTTTGTTGCAGGCCGGAAGGAGCGCGGTATTAACCTCCGAAAAGGTCCTACTGTTCCGCCAACCGGGGCTTCACCCTGGCGACATCCGGGTCTTCAAGATCCAAAAAGTGCCCGCTAATGTGACCGTTCCGCTCAGCGCCTTCCGTTCCGTCGTTGCAG